AACTAGGTGCCATCGAGCTAAAGTCAAGCCGACTGAAAGAGTTGATGATGATGAAGTGGAACCAAATATAGATATCGAAGCAGAACAGGAGAAAGACCTAGATTTGAAGTCAATGGTTGATTTCCTAAAAGCAAGTGTTGTGCGCCCTGCTTGGGAGAAGGTGTCTAGTCAAAGCCCCGAGACAAAGCACTATTGGGCACAATGGGACCAGTTAAAGCTTAAGATGGTATTCTTCTCCGGAGATGGGAAACTACAGATGGGAAAGTGACGACTTGGCAAACAGTTATACCGAGGAAGTTACGGGAAGTTGTGCTGCGTCAATCCCATGATAATTTAACAGAAGGACATCTCGGAATTAGGAATACATTGAGTCATCTACGACAAAGATTTTACTGGATAGGGAAGAGGCAAGATGTGGAAGAATGGTGTAGGACATGCAGTACATTTTGTGCTAAAAGGGGACCCAAGCATAAAGGACGCCCACCTTATGAAGAGTTGCCTGAAATGGCACAATGGGACCAGTTAAAGCTTAAGATGGTATTCTTCTCCGGAGATGGGAAACTACAGATGGGAAAGTGACGACTTGGCAAACAGTTATACCGAGGAAGTTACGGGAAGTTGTGCTGCGTCAATCCCATGATAATTTAACAGAAGGACATCTCGGAATTAGGAATACATTGAGTTATCTACGACAAAGATTTTACTGGATAGGTATAAGGCGAGATGTGGAAGAATGGTGCAGGACATGCAGTACATTTAGTGCTAAAAGGGGACCCAAGCATAAGGGACGCCCACCTTATGAAGAGTTGCCTGAGAATGTGTCAGAGTTTGTGAAAGTGTTATCAGAAAGGATGGATGATATTCACCATCAAGTGCATACAAACTTGAAAACGTCTGCTGATTCGATGAAGTTATCTTATGATAAAAGATCTTTTGAAGTCAGCTTTGTACCAGGAGACAAGGTATGGTTCTATAATCCCAGGAAAACCAAATGGAAGTCTCCTAAGTTGTCTTCTCCATGGGAAGGCCCATATGACATAGTGGATCGTCTCTCAGACGTGACTTTCCGAATCAAATGTGGTCGGCGAGGTAATCCAAAAGTGGTGCATGCCAACAGGCTTTGACGTTATCATGGTCCAGGACATTTCAGTTGGGACGAAGTGAACAAAGGAACAAATGACGCTGCTGAAGAAATGTCACCTGAAAAAGCCACCGTCGAAGAAGAAATTCTACTCAGTTTTGAGAAGGGAAACAGTGAAGCTCTTAATGAAGTTATTACCACTGATGTGACTGTAATCGACGATAGAACATTTCCTGATGAAGCAGATGAACCCCATATGAAGCAAAAGCCAACGAGACGGAGACCAGTACGGAAGAAGATACGTCCCGTAAAATTAAGAGATTTTGTTGAATTGTAATTTTGTGTTTGTAATTCTGTACATTTAATTACGTTATTGTTATTGGTTTATTGTAAGTGACTATTGTTCGGGACGAACAATACTAAGGAGGGGGCAGTGTTGCGTCAGCGAGGTCACGTGACTAGTATCACGCCACCTGTTTCTAGAAATATCCTGTTCCTTCAAGAATGCCCTAGCATTTACTAGATATGTGTTAGTCTTATATGTATAAGACGTTCACAACGTGACGGGACAAGAGAGGTAATGAGTAATTGAACTGCAGTCAGAGCGAATATTGTTAAGCACGTGAGAAGTTCGTTGAGAATTATAGCGTTTTTTACAGAGCGAATGTTGAAGTTGAGTGTATCGTAAAGTTGTATTCGGAAAGAATGAACCAGTTTTATTTAAGAAAGGACTTGTGTCGCTAAAGTTTCGTCGGAACGAATTTACGGGAAATCAATTAACGAACGGAGACGTAACAGTATTAACCCCCTGCAAAGTTCCACATTTTTTGCTGTCTGAGCGTGCAACCATAAAACTTTCAAATGGAATGCTATATTTAGAATCTACTCCAAACTGAGAAAGCTAAAAAATGCTGATATTATATAAGTAAGTTAGATTTTCAAAGAAAATTAGAATATTCTCAATTCCATAAGTACTCAACTCCTTTGCTACAGCAACCCTAAATCAGTTCAGGAGCAAAAGATGAGTTAGAAAGATCACAAAATTAGTCTATATGTAACAAAGTGGTTTAACTTGACTCCAAAGTAAATGCATCTATTCAAGACACAACTCACATACTGATGCGACAAACCAACCATAAAGACAAAGGAGCATTCCAAAGAAGTCAGGGATAAAATGGTAGAAAAGCACAGATCAGGAGAACATTAGAAGAAAATTTCAAAGTTGCTGATTATCCCTCTGAGTATGGTGATATCCATCATTTATTCAAAGCACTACGTCTGGCGCAAGCCCAACACAATACATCACACAGGTAACACCATTCCAACTGCCACTCATGGTGTTGGTAGAATCATATTATGGGGATGCTTCTTATCAGCAGAGACTAGGAAGCTTGTCAGGATTGAGGAGAAGATGAGTGGTTCAAACTACAGGCGAATCCTAGAGGAAAACCTGCTTGAGTCAGCCAAGAATCTAAAACTAGGTCGAAAATTCATATTTCAGCAGGACAATGACCCAGAGTACAAGGCCAAAGCCACACTAAAATGGTTTCAAACGAAAAAAGTGAATGTTCTCGAGTGGCCCAATCAAAATTCTGATGTGAATCCAATAGACTTGAAGATTGCAGTTCATCAACGATCCCCAACGAACTTGTCAGAATTGGAGCAATTCTGCCAGAAAGAATTGGCAAAAATTACATCATCCCATTGTTCAAAGCTGGTAAGACCTATTCAAAAAGGCTTACAGCAGTAATTGCTGCTAAAGGTGCTTTCACCAAGCACTGACTTATAATAAAGAGCTGGATACTTATGCAATCAGCAATTT